CGGTGGCGGCAGAACAGGCAGGGCTCCGAGTGTCACACGCTTCTGGCCAGTTCCCCAAAGCTGTATTTTAATCCTGTTACAGCCTTCAGTCAGAAAAGTAGGGCCACCTAGGGGTGGTCCATCACTGCCTCCTGGCAGATCAGCTAACTCAGGGTTTCTTGAGAGACGTTCCTTTAACTATTTTCTAAAAGTCTCCTCTGCTGCAGGATCTGTGTTCCAGAGCTTCACCAGCCCTCCTGCTACAACAGGGCCTTTTTCTTTCCCTTCCTTATCACAATGTAAGCTTGTGACTTCTTGTCCCAGTTAGTCTTCACTTTGCTTTCTGCAGTAATGGCATTAACAGCAGGTGAGCAGTAAATCAGCAGCTGGGAACTGCCTCAACAAGTGCAGATTTGGGAGCCTCCTGAGGTGGTAAGCAGACTCTCTGCAGCCTACGGTTGGATTACCTTGCAGTTTGTCCCACCACTTAGTGTAGCAGTCCTCCCCCCTTCACCCCCTTCTGCCATTTAAAGATGCTTTAAATCCAAGCTGCACACGTGGTGAAAGCCTCTCCCCACACACTGGCAGAGCTTTGTCAAATGGCTCATCAGGATTTTTCCCCAGCAGCTGCTGAAGGGGGAGCTGGGGCCTGCTGAGCACAGGTGTAATGAGGCTGCTCTGAGGATGCATGTATTACCCCTATTGCAGTGAAACGCTTTCTCTCTTTTCCTGCCGTGGATGAGGCCAGCCCCAGTGTGAGCTTGCCTGCCCTGGGTGCCGTGGCCTGGGCTCTCCTGCCCAGGGGACACTGTGGCTGTGCGCTGGCCTCCTTCCCCTACCTTGGGGGCTGCAGCAGGGCTGGGACTGGCAGGGTGCGCAGAGAGCCTGCGGGCAGAAGGACCTGAAGCTGTAGGTGATTGTCATTCACCTTAGGGTGCTTGCAGGCAACGGCGGCACCCTGTGGTGGTTGAAGTTGGCAGTGGACATTGCTCTTCCTATGAAGGCTTCGGTGGCACATCCTTGGAGGAGTGTGTGGGCAACATGAGCAAGGTAGATGGAGTTTGGGGAAGGAAGGATAGTTACGGAGAAGGGGGCAGTAGCTAGCTTCTTTAATACCATGTGGTGTACAATGTTTTTCCTGAAAGGACCCCAGAGTATTTCAGGAGGGTGGGATGTCTGTGGGAGATGTGTGCCTGGTAGCAGAGGGTGTAAATAGGCTGCAGAGCAGCAGCAAACTTGCTGAGCTCCTGAAGTGAGTCAGTGGCATTTCAGGAATTGAACCTAGTGTTTGTGACTCACGTTTTCCCCACTAACCGCTGTGACGTTTGGTTCATGTACTGGGAGTTTTGCTGCTGAGTTTCACAGAGAAACCTCTTCTCTAACTGTTTTCTGTTATCACTGAGATCACTGATCACCGCTACCAGTGCTAATGGATGGCACCGTTAGTTTCCATTTAGATTTTTCTCCTTATCTTTTACTCTTGCATCTGTGCCTTCTAGAGCTTCAAATTCTCAATTCATTTTGCCTTAACAAAGCATTTGGAGAATGCTTCTACTAAAACATTTCTTCTTATGCTGTGAAATTTATTTCTTCTCTCAACAGAAACTAACACGACCATTACTGAAGGTGTAAATGGAGGCTAAATTAAAATTGTGTAGGAAACTATGATTCTGATATTTTCCTGTTTTTGTCTTTCAAAACATTGTTTCCTCCAATAGCTGTTGTAGTATCGTTGTTATTCTTGAAATAACCAGGACAATGCAGATTCATGAATCTTTTCAATAATGATCCTGAATCGATAAAGGAACTAGACAAAAGATGAAATGAAACAGGAAAGATGATGAAATATTAGTGAATGAGCACTAGGTGGAGCATATGTTACACAACTGAATTTCCAGTTTCACTCCTAGAAACTTCAAGGTGTCGGATGTAACTAGCTGCCCTGTGGCAAGGAAGAACAGAGCCCAGATGGAGAGGAATTTATAAGTGTAGCTAAAACTCAAGCTCAGTTGTACATCCTTGTTCAGCGAAGCATTTAAGTGCTTCATCTCAATTGAGATTAATGTGCCCTTTAGTACCCAGCTGGATGTTTTGCTCAATTAGGGCCTTAGGATGAAGCTATTTTTGCTTAGAACTCAATGGCAATCACTTGCAAGAGCAAAGGGTCTGTGGCTCACTGATAGGTAGGTGCTAACTTACTATCCTCCTGTAGCTGCATCTTTAGTTTTAGGCGCTCTGCACTCTCACTTCTGTCAGCGGTTGCGTTCCTTTCCTTACCATAACTAGTAATTGGCCACATCTTTGC